TGCGCCGCGGGGGGGGAGGGGGAGGGTGTGCGCCGTCCCGGGGCGGTGCGAAACCGGTGGGGAATCGTTCCAGCGCTGCGCTGGGCGGGCCTAGTGAACGGTGCTTCTGAATAAGCGTGATGCTGTCTAATAACTTAATTTGTTGAGCCTAAAAAAGGTGAAGTGTGTAGACTGGCCGCAACGAAGGCTTGCAGTGTAAACGGTGTAATTGGGAGGTCTGCTTAGGCTGCCGTGGGCGAGGTTTTCCTGGATTTTCGGTCGATGTCAATGATCTGATCCGTGTTGACTTGAAGGCCTTTGGTCCGGGATGGCCTTTCCCTGAGATTTCGCGTGTCCTCTGGAGGCTGCCGTGTCCAGGGAGCGCTCTGCAGCCCGGAGACAGAATTACGGCATCACAGAGTGGTGGGGCTGGAAGGGACCTCTGTGGGTCATCTAGTCCAACCCTCCTGCCGAAGCAGGGTCACCTACAGCAGGCTGCACAGAACCGCGTCCAGGAGGGTCTTGAATATCTCCAGAGAAGGAGACTCCACAACCCCCCTGGGCAGCCTGTTCCAGTGCTCCGTCACCCTCAGAGGGAAGAAGTTCTTCCTCATGATCAGCTGGAACGTCCTCTGCTTTAGTTTGTCCCCGTTGCCCGTTGACGCCGGCTGGGAGCAAGACCTGGAGGTTTGGGGCAGCGGGGGCTGCAGTTTCTTCTCCAAAATTCATTTTTCTCAGCAGATGAGTTTTGGGCTGGGTGTTGTTTGTATCAAAGCTTTCGCTGCTGCGGGTGGTGCAGGTGATTCTCCAGCATCCCTGAGGCACCGTGAGGCAGAGCTCTGGGCCAGCAGGAAGCCCAAAGCATCGTCTCCTCTGCGTGCAACTGAGGCCTCGCTGATGCTGCTGGAGAGACATGTCACAAATTATTTTCAATTGCTATCAATAAGTCACATCTGTAGCATATTAAACAAATTGAGACGGGGTTGAGTACTTACACATCGAACCTAGGCAAAATACGTGAGTGTAGGCTACTCATTTTCCTTCTCTGTCCTATTTTCCCTCTCTAACCTCATTGCTTCATACATAAACTTACTTTGCAAGCTACCTAGTGCCTTGGTATTTGATTTATTCTGTAAATTCGTAGCAGAGTTTGGTGCTATTTCATTAGTTGATGGTGTCTTTACAAAAATCTTCCTGTGTCTCGTTGAAATCCACAGATGGCTC